CAATGCAATAAAAGGTCTGTCACCACTCAGTGTGTGAATTAGCCCTTAAAACTGCACATGCCTGTGAAATGGCAGAAAAAACAACAGTACCCAATTTGTCCATCAACAGTCAGAGATGACCCTAGAATCATTCCAGCATGTGCAGGAATACCCAATGTGTGTGGCGCAATCATTTCTATATACGTGTGCACCCAACAAGCATATTTGTGTTCACATGGGATGGTAGGTGGCTTTTTTTTTTCCTTTAATTTATTAAACTAATTTTAATTTAATTTATTATAGGTATTTACATCAACTATATACTGTACACACACACACCAGTCTCCTCTCTGATGGTGCTTACAATCTATGGTCCTTACCTCACATGCATCAATATACATATTGGGGTCAACTTAGACAGGAGCCAATTAACTTATTAGCATGTCATTGGAGTATGAAAGGAAACCCAGGCAAGAGCAAGGAAGCAACTTCGCATGGGTAGCGTTTTGGTTGGAATTCAAACATAGGACCCCAGTGCTGCAAGGCAAACGTGATAACTACTCGCAGGGGGCAGTCTGTTTACATGTCAATGGTACTGTGGATATAGAGCTTATGGCCGCAGCAGTGAAATGGATGAACAATATTTTCAGAGATCACTAGGATTGGTTGTTAAAGTGATAAGATGATTGGGAGGCTGGATTTTAGTGGACAGCCTGTTACTTGAAGTTGAACATGTTACAGTATGTCTCAAAAAAGAAGGCTTTGAGTAAGGTTTTCTCCAAGCATGAGGATATCCTATAAAAGGAATAATTCTACATATTGTGGCTGTTTTTCCCTCATTTATCACAAATTCCACTAATATTACCACCTGCAAAAACTGTTGTGGCTGTTGTCCAAGTTGTGCTTGAGTTTGCTGCTGAACTGATGGTATCTGTTGCTGCTGCTGTTGGTCTTGCTGGTTCTGCTGCTGAGGAGTAATAGAAATGGTCTGTGGTTGCTGCTGCTGCTGGGTAGCAAACGTCGGATAGGCAGTTACCACTGGACCCATGAACATGGTGCTGGGAACCATGACTGCTCCACAAGCAACTGGCGTGGTAACCAGTTTAGTCACTATTTGTTGAGCTTGAGAAAACCTGTAAAACACATTTAATTTAGGTATGAATATAAATGTTCAAGAGCAAGGAAAGCATTACATTACTAAGTACGATGTTAAGAAAACTGAGGAAGTAGTCACTAAAGAAACTGAGGGGGAATGCCACTGCTGATGTTTTGAAAATGCCAATTACCTTGCTGTCATGTTGAATCTTTGGGTAAGTGATTAAAAGCTTTTAAATCCAAACTAAAGTATGCTGATTGGGAGCTTTCAATTTCCCCCTCTGACGTGTAGCCACTGGATCAGCATTACTGCTCTTCAGCTAGCATTTTCAGAAGGAGGTTGGCAATAGTAGCCCTCATATTTCTCAGGAGACAAACTTCCTTTAAAACTATGGGCAAAACTATGCTTTTCCTTAAGCAGGCCACATATGGCTCGAAGCTTGGCCAGTTCAGCAATGACTGGCGGAGATTTGAACCATCTATGGACAGGCTGATTGTACCCAATTCGATTTTTGTTGCTCTCCGCGCAACTCAGCGTTGCAGAAAAGAATATCGCATCACCTATGACCTGCCTTAGCAAAGCATCTAACCATTTCTTTTTATTTTCCTTTCTATTAGTTTTTATTATTTTTCAAAAGGATATTACAACAACTCAAACAAGCTCAACTTTAAACGGTAAGATTTACAAATAGACTACGTAACATTGTTATAAAGGACATAACAATGAGGCACTTATTCGAAAAATATACAATCATCCTGTTTTGTTTTAAATACTGCAATGCATGGCCATGTGGTGGACGGCAACCAAGGGCATCCGAAACTACGCCACCACACAGCCATACAGAGGACCAGTATGGATTGCCTCATGGTCGTTCGACCAAAATCACAAAACAATCAAGAGAAGGAAATAAGGAAAAAGGGAATTAAAAAAGGTGCACCTGATCCAGCCTTGTTACACCAAACATACTGTAGAAATTTCTGTTGAATTTTTAAGATCAGAGACATGAAGTGAAATTGGGAGAGTCCAAAATAAAATATAACAATCTTGGGTAAGATGTTCATTGTTATGGAGTACAAATGACCAAACCAAGAAGGGGGTTAAAACTCCAGATCTGAAGCTCACCAGTCAATTTTTTGAATAGAGGAGGGTAGTTTTTCACATACAAAGTGTGTAAATTGGGTGTAAACTGTAAGATTAAATAAGGGAGAGCTGTTGGCTGTCATTTAAATGAAAAATGATGTTTGAGAGCGCAAACAATCTGTTCCTCCAAGGATTTGTTACGTGCCAGAGATTTAGAATGGTTAACCCAAAGGCCTGAGATAGTTGAGAAGCGGCAGGATAGAGTATAAATTAGGGATTGATGTAACCGGGGAAGAGAGGATCATTAACAAGTCATCGGTGGACAGGGTGCACTTGTGTTTCCGATCCCCACAATGTTTACCTTTGATAGCCGCATGTTCATGGAGTAAAATGGCAAGAGGTTCTAAAGCTAATACAAACAAAACTGGGGATAAGGGGCAACCATGGCATGTGCCTCTGTGTATTGGAATTTGTTGGGAACTATATCCTTTAACCATTAAACGAGCCGAAGGGGCACTATAGGGGTGTGCACGAGGGTGATGAAATGGGTACAAAAATCATAGCGTTGCAGAGAGTAAAAAAAGTATTCCCATGACAGGGAATTATAGGCCTTGTGTAGGTCTAAGGAGAGAAGCATGCCCTTCCTCTGTCCCCAACCATCCTAGTTCAAGTGTACTGCTGATATAATGTCCACCAGTCTCCTGCTTTGATCTGGAGCTTGCCTATTGGGGACAAAGCCGATTTGATCAAGGTTTATTTTTTATTTTAATGAAAAAGGCAACAAGTGCCCACTAGCTCTTTGCAAAAATGTGTGTCATTAAAGCTACAGATGACGGCTGGTTGTTTAATTTAGCAACTCAACATTAGACACCATGTAACTGCATTTGCAAAAAAATAAATAAATAAATAAAATAAAACCATCCTTATCAGTACTAGTCTATACAGCTATATGGATTTTCCCATTTTCTGCTCCTCTTATAGATACAGACAACATACAGTATACTCTGAAAAGGCTGCAGAGCAACATCATTCAGCTACAGTCAGGTCCATAAATATTGGGACATCGACACAATTCTAACATTTTTGGCTCTATACACCACCACAATGGATTTGAAATGAAACAAACAAGATGTGCTTTAACTGCAGACTGTCAGCTTTAATTTGAGGGTATTTACATCCAAATCAGATGAACGGTGTAGGAATTACAACAGTTTGCATATGTGCCTCCCACTTGTTAAGGGACCAAAAGTAATGGGACAGAATAATAATCATAAATCAAACTTTCACTTTTTAATACTTGGTTGCAAATCCTTTGCAGTCAATTACAGCCTGAAGTCTGGAACGCATAGACATCACCAGACGCTGGGTTTCATCCCTGGTGATGCTCTGCCAGGCCTCTACTGCAACTGTCTTCAGTTCCTGCTTGTTCTTGGGGCATTTTCCCTTCAGTTTTGTCTTCAGCAAGTGAAATGCATGCTCAAATCGGATTCAGGTCAGGTGATTGACTTGGCCATTGCATAACATTCCACTTCTTTCCCTTAAAAAACTCTTTGGTTGCTTTTGCAGTATGCTTTGGGTCATTGTCGAACTGCACTGTGAAGCGGCGTCCAATGAGTTCTGAAGCATTTGGCTGAATATGAGCAGATAATATTGCCCGAAACACTTCAGAATTCATCCTGCTGCTTTTGTCAGCAGTCACATCATCAATAAATACAAGAGAACCAGTTCCATTGGCAGCCATACATGCCCACGCCATGACACTACCACCGCCATGCTTCACTGATGAGGTGGTATGCTTAGGATCATGAGCAGTTCCTTTCCTTCTCCATACTCTTCTCTTCCCATCACTCTGGTACAAGTTGATCTTGGTCTCATCTGTCCATAGGATGTTGTTCCAGAACTGTGAAGGCTTTTTTAGATGTCGTTTGGCAAACTCTAATCTGGCCTTCCTGATTTTAAGGCTCACCAATGGTTTACATCTTGTGCTGAACCCTCTGTATTCACTCTGGTGAAGTCTTCTTGATTATTGACTTTGACACACGTACACCTACCTCCTGGAGAGTGTTCTTGATCTGGCCAACTGTTGCGAAGGGTGTTTTCTTCACCAGGGAAAGAATTCTTCGGTCATCCACCACAGTTGTTTTCCGTGGTCTTCCGGGTCTTTTGGTGTTGCTGAGCTCACTGGTGCGTTCCTTCTTTTTAAGAATGTTCCAAACAGTTGTTTTGGCCACGCCTAATGTTTTTGCTATCTCTCTGATGGGTTTTGTTTTGTTTTTTCAGCCTAATGATGGCTTGCTTCACTGATAGTGACAGCTCTTTGGATCTCATCTTGAGAGTTGACAGCAACAGATTCCAAATGCAAACAGCACACTTGAAATGAACTCTGGACCTTTTATCTGCTCATTGTAATTGGGATAATGAGGGAATAACACACACCTGGTCATGGAACAGCTGAGAAGCCAATTGTCCCATTACTTTTGGTCCCTTAACAAGTGGGAGGCACATATGCAAACTGTTGTAATTCCTACACCGTTCACCTGATTTGGATGTAAATACCCTCAAATTAAAGCTGACAATCTGCAGTTAAAGTACATCTTGTTCGTTTCATTTCAAATCCATTGTGGTGGTGTATAGAGCCAAAAATGTTAGAATTGTGTCGATGTCCCAATATTTATGGACCTGACTGTATGTAGCAAGGAGTGTAGAGGAAATCAAAGCCTTTATTATTGAAAGTAAAAAAACAAATAAGCAAAGAAATGATACATGTAATTTCATCACATCTCACAAAGGATTTTCATATTTACCTGATTTGTCTGTCCTGGGAAAATGTGGTAACAGCAGACCCCTGGTTAGTCTGTTGCCTGTTGGATGGCATTTGTACCATGTTAGCAGTAGATGGCTGTGAGATTACCATGGTGTTGTAGAGAGGAGCAGCCAGTGACCCGGGTGTCTGGCTGGACATTGAGGTCTGCTGAGAGTGCCCACTGTGCATGTTCTGCTGCCCCTGCTGGAACACGAGATACATTTCCTTTTTACATTATGAATATGTATTTAAATATGCATTAGTCAAAAGTGGAAACTGTAAATATGTTACTGTACAATTCAACATACATGTTATCTGTACAACAAAAACAGTTATAATTCATGAAACATGGCTTACACCAATATATAACTTGCCAAATTTTGTTCCAGCAGAAGGTTAGTCTGAGTAACCAAATACATAATATAACTACTGTATGTATGTATTTAAAAAGCACCAACCAGCGCATTTTCCTAATGCTTTGGCTTTCTGGCACAATGACCCAAAGCAAATACAGAGTTTCAAATTCTAGCTTTTTTTAATTTGCTGCATCCTTGTTCTGCATCTGTGATTTAGAATTACTGTAGCCAGATTTTCAGAAAGAGATCAGCAATGACAGTCCACTTATTTCTCATAACCAACTCCATATTTTTTTTAAATTCCACTGCCCAACCTTTGAGAACATAAAAAAGCAACCTGGCTGCAATACTTACCCGTATGTTCAGCAGCAACCCCCCCCCCCCAATATGGAAAAAACAATAACTTTTGTATAACTGGTTTTCATGTGTCAAAAATCAGCACAGTCATTCCACATGACATGAAGTCTGTAAACAAATATAAAACAGCATGTAATTTTACCAGATCCAAAAGCACTGAATTTTATGCATGGGTTTAATACTGCAGAAAAATATGCCATTATACAGTACTTTATGTACTAGATCTATGCACTCTGAACAGGCTGTCCTTTAATGCCTGAACAATTAACCATGATGAAGTTTAGTGAAAGTGTTTTCAACTCTGCTTCCAAATAAATTGTACAAATGAAAACAGAGGTCATGTACATTTTTTTCTGAACACAATGTGCAGAATATTTGGCCAGGACTTCGTTTTCACCCAGGCCTTTCTGTGGTTCATCTGTTCGCCCCAATGCTTAGAATTCCCTTTGTGCGAGCATTCATGTTTTATTGCCCACGTTTGAAAATACAGGGCTGGAACTCAGGCAGTACAGCGCAGAATCATTTATGTATCTAATAAAATCTGTACTAATGAGCAACATCAAGGTTACTAAAATAACTGTTTTTCTATTATTACTATTTTTTTCACTTGTTCGCTGGAGCTCCCCTTTAACCCCCCTGGCGGCAGTATTCCCAAGTGTAGCTCCGGGTTAACTTTCAGTACCAAAAGCGGTAACCTCGAGCTACACTTGCTCAGGGATTCCCTCCAGCACTTACCTTGTCCTGCGCTCCCGCGAGATGTCCCCCCTGCCATCTCCTCCGGCCGATGCCGGCATCCGTCTTCCCTGCTAGGGTCAGGACTTACGGGGGACGGAACCGGCGGGAAATTTAAAAATGTGACATTCACTCAATACACTAAAATCTCATAGTAGAACATTACTGTATCAAACCATTTCACATACATTTTGTCCCGAGTGCTTTGTCCTGTGCCCTGCCTGCATTTTCACTGTTCTTTCTGCCTGGAAACTAAGAAATGTCCATAGCGTCCAAAAAGCGTCCCTTTAGGTCAAAAGTGGTTTTAGAAAAGCTAGAGAACAGCGATCACTTGAAGAATTGAGTGATGATTTGTGGGGAAATTTGTCAGACGTTGAAAACAATTTTGCGACTTTGCTCAGTGATGTGCGAACTTGGCACTCTATTTCAAATTTCAATGTTTTTGGTTTGATTACATTATTGAATTAAATTATATTATTTTTTATGATTATGTATTATATTATAATTTACAATTTCGTGCTTCAAATTTTATCATACCCGGGATGTTTACTAGACTCTTGTTCGGACAGATTTCAGTGAGTTATTCCTAAGAATTACAGGCCTACAATAAATAAAAACATATTTCCATGCAAAAAAATGTACCGCTTTGAGCACAGAAATACTGACACAATCAGACCGCTGGGGAGGTTAAAGTCTAAAAGAGAAGCATTCTGCTTACTACAACACGAAAGTAGCCGTCAGGTAAAGGCTTGCACCTGTCTATAAAAGCAGATACCACCAATAGATAGAGCAACCAAAACCTAAACACAGCTTACATTATGCAAACCAGCTTCAATATACCATAAGGGCATCTGTAAAAGCTGTTGTACATTACAAAACTAATTGGAGATCACCTGCACTTTTTAGTGTGGTAAGATCAGAAGTCATCTGAGAGTCGGGAAAGCTACCCATCCACTGACAGAATTTTAAGTTGGCTTTAGTTAGGGTCACACTAGCTCGTGAGATAATTTAGTGTTTACTTAAACTACTTATGAATTTAATGTGATTGATACCTTACTGTTTAGTTCTGACTGAAAGGAAATTTAGGACAAGAGAATAATTTGAAAAAGAAAAAAAATCTGTAATACACATGAAAAATGCAATGTTACCTGGCTGGTGTTCTGTAAAGGCTGCTGTTGCAGCATGTGAGAGCCTCCCATGTGGCTGGTGTTCAGGCCTCCCTGCAGCTGGTTGGTTTGAACCACCTGACCCTGCATGGTAAGCTGTGGCAGTTGTGGCATGTTGGAGCCGTTTCCAGAGGATGTCTGCACCGGCCCAAAGTTTAGACTAGGCGTAGATTGCTGCAAAAACATCTTTAAGAAAACAAAGAAACATTTTAACCTTGAATCACATATAATAATGTCATTTTTAAAACACCATAAAAATAAAATGGAAGGAGAAATATGCTATTAAAGAAAAAAAAATTATAATCTTCTATATATTATACATATACACATACATACATATACAGTTAGGTCCATATATATTTGAACACAGGCACAATTTTCATACTTTTGGCTCTGTATACCATCGGAATAAATTAAAACAAAACAATCCAAATGAATTTTAAGTGCAGACTTTCAGCTTTAATTCATGGGGTTGAACAAATATCAAGTACAAATTTTAGGAACTGGAACCATTTTTATACACAGTCCCTTCATTTTCAGGGGCTCAAATGTAATTGGACAAATACATATAATCATAAATAAAATGTTCATTTTTAATACTTTGTTGAGAATCCTTTACTGGCAATGACTGCCTGAAGTCTGGAACCCATGGACTAATTATTACCAAAGACTGGGTTTCCTCTTTTCTGATGATGTTCTTTGTAGGTCTTTCTGCCTTTAGTTTTGCCTTCAGCAAGTTAAATGAATTCTCAGTTGGGTTGAGATCACGTGACTGACTCGACCATTGCATAATATTCCACTTCTTTTCCTTCAAAAGCTTCTGGGTTGCTTTTTGCAGTGTGTTTTGGATCATTGTCCATCTGTACTGTGAAGTGCCGTCCAATCAACTTTGCTGCATTTGGCTGAATCTGGGCTGACAGTATATCTCTAAACACTGCAGAATTCATCCAGCTGCTTCTGTCTTCTGTCACATCATCAATAAACACCAATGACGCAGTGCTACTGGAAGCCATGCATGCCCATGCAATCACACTACCTCCACCATGTTTTACAGGATGACGTTGTGTGCTTTGGGTCATGAGCTGTTCCAAGCCTTATCACTTTTTTCTTCCCGTCATTCTGGTACAGATTAATCTTAGTTTCATCCACCCAAAGAATGCTTTTCCAGAACTGGTCGGGCTTTTTAAGATGGTTTTTGGCAAAGTCTAATCTGGATTTTCTATTCTTCAGGCTTATGAATGGTTTGTACCTTGTGGTGAACCCTCTGTATTTGCTCTTATGAAGTCTTCTCTTGATTGTAGACTTTGACAATGATATGCCCACCTCCTGGAGAGTGTCCTCCTTCATTTGTCTGGATGTTGTGAATGGGTTTTTCTTTACCATAGAGTATCCTGCGATCATCCACCACTATTGTCTATTGTATTCTGTGGACGTCCATGTCTTTTTATGTTGCTGAGCTCACCAGTGCATTCTTCTTTCCTCAGAATGTACCAAACTGTTGATTTGGCCTCTCCTAATGTTGCTGCTATCTCTCTGATGGATTTGTTTCATTTTTGAAGCCTTACAATGGCCTTTTTCACTTGAAGGGACAGCTCCATTGAACGCATGATGTAGGTTCACAGCAATAGATTCCAAATGCAAATACCACACTTAGAATCAACTTCAGACCTTTTGCCTGCTTAATTGATGAAGAAATAATGAAGGAGTAGCCCACACCTGGCCATGAAACAGCTTTTGATTGAATTGTCCAATTACTTTTGGTCCCTTGAAAAAGGGGGGATGGCTACTCTTAAGAACTGTAATTCCTAAACCCTTCCTCCAATTTGGATGTACGTAACCTCAAATTAAACCTGAGAGTGTGCACTTTCAGCCCATATCTGTTATATAACTATAGCTTGAATATGTTTTGGGAAATACCTGAAAAAAACTAAAAATGTGCCTGTGTCCGTGTGTGTGTGTGTCCGTGTTTGTGTGTCCACGATAGATAGACACACACACACACACACTCACCTTCATGCTGCAGCATCCATGTCCCACACAGGCTTTAAAACCAAAAGCTCAGCTACCACATGACTGCTGATTAGACAGCTCTCTGCTGGCAGTGGAGAACAGTGCCTGTCGGATCACTGCAAACTGCTCTGCAACTCCAATGCTAACTGGAGCAACAGGCTGCGGAATGGGAAGAAGTGGCTGTCTTCAGCTCTCAGTCTCATGCTAATAGGTGGAGGCAGCTGTAGATTAGGTAGCCAGGTGGTCCCGAGCTCAGTGCTGCTCTGCCCTCTCAGCAATAGCCGGCTAACTGTGGACTCTGGGTCATATTTACTATTGTACTTCTATGATTCAGAGTCAGCTGTAACCCCAAAAAGAAGTATGGCCAAAAATGTTTTGGCCACAGTTCTCTTTCTTTGGCTTATGGATGGCTGTATTCTGGCACCAGTGTTCAGTTATGTACACTGTAGCAGGCAAATTTTACCTGTGGGAAAATAAAAAGAGCTAAGCCTGCTACTTCACAACAAATGCCACACAATGCCTGCTTTTACCCTCAAACACACTCTTTTTCCATGGGCATCCATTACCATGGACCCCACAAAAACATAGTAAGGCCAGGTATGGGACATACACATACAGCCTCCATGCTGTCCACAATGCAGTCTTAGGTGTCTGAGTTGCCTCTCTCAGAAAAATGAAAATCCGCTTAGATATTTCAGGCGCTCCAGTAACAATGCAGGAGGTACCATACATGCTGGCCACGCGGTGGCAGGCTTACATTATTCTTTTCTCCACGACTGGGTCATTCTAATTCTTTGTGATTTTTCTTTGACCCATGTCTACTTATGTTGGGCTTCCACTGCATGGCCTTTTCCTTTACATGGTAAATTGTGTCTATTCACTTTTTTAACCACTTCAATACCAGGCATTTCACCCCTTTCCTGCCCAGGCCGATTTTCAGCGTTCAGAGCTCTCACACTTTGAATGAGAATTGCACGGTCACACAACTGTACCCATCCTGTAACTTGTATCATTTTTTTCACACAAATAGAGCTTTCTTTTATGGTATTTAATCACCACTGGGTTTTTATATTTTTTGCCAAACAAAAAGACAAAATTTTGAAAAAAAAAACCCCAAAACCTCTTTGTCTTCATTTCGGTTATAAAATTTTCCAAATAATCGTTCTTCATAAATTTAGGCTAAAATGCATTCGACTACATTTCTTTAGTGAAAATAACCCAAATCAGTGTTTATTATTTAGTCTGTAGGAAGGTGATAGATTCCACAAACTATGAGATACATAGAAATAGAAATGACATTGGCTGTCAGAACATCAGGATTGAGATAGATTAGATCAGGGGTCCTCAGACTACAGCCTGCCAAAGTCATTTACACGGCCCACCAGGTTGGTTGGAAAAAAAAAAAATTGGCGCCGGCAAATAGCTAGGCTCCTCAGCATGAATTTACAGTGTACAGTGCCTTTTGGTGTCCAGTGCTTTACAGTGTACATGCATTGTGGTGTCAAGTGTGTAACAGTGTACAATGCATTGCGGTGTCAAGTGCATTAAGTGCGTTACAGTGCATTGCGGTGTCCAGTACGTTACAGTGTACAGTGCATTCTGGTGTCCAGTGCAGTACAGTCTACAATACATTGCGGTGTCCAGTGCAGTTCAGTGCATTTCGGTGTCCAGTTCGCTACAGAGTACAATGCATTTTGGAGTCCAGTGCATTACAGTGTATAGCACATTTTGGTGTCAAGTGTGTTACAGTGTACAATGCATTGTGGTGTCAAGTGTGTTACAGTGTACAGTGCATTTTGGTATCCAGTGCGTTATAGTGTACAATGCATTTGTGGTGTCAAGTGTGTTACAGTGTACAGTTTGGTATCCACTGTGTTACAGTGTACAATGCATTGCGGTGTCAAGTGTATTACAGTGTCCAGTGCGTACACAGTGCATTGCGGTGTCCAGTACGTTACAGTGTCAGTGCATTTAGTGTCCAGTGCAGTTACAGTGCATTGCGGTGTCCAGTACAGTCTACAATACAGTGCGGTGTCCACAGTGTCTACAATACTGGTGTCCAGTGCAGTACAGTCTACAATACATTGCGGTGTCCAGTGCAGTACAGTCTACAATACAGTGCGGTGTCCAGTGCAGTTCAGTGCATTTCGGTGTCCAGTTCGCTACAGAGTACAATGCATTTTGGAGTCCAGTGCATTGCGATGTCCAATGCATTACAGTGTATAGCACATTTTGGTGTCAAGTGTGTTACAGTGTGCAGTGCATTTTGGTGTCCAGCGCCTTACAGTGTACAGTGCATTTTGGTGTGCATTGTGGTGTCCAGTGCGTTACGGTCTCCAGCGCGTTTTAAATATTGTATTGTTTTTTTCCTGTTTTTTGCACTACAAATAAGATATGTACGGTGTGCATAGGAATTTGTTTATATTTTTTTCATACTGTTGTCCGGCCCCCCCAACAGTGTGAAGGTCAGTGAACTGGCCTCCTGTTTAAAAAGTATGAGGAAATTAGTAGATAGACAGAGATAGACAGACAGACCAGATTGAGATAGAGAGATAGATATAGATAGATAGATAGATATATAGATAGATAGATAGATAGATAGATGTGAAAATCGATCAATCCTGATGTACTGACAGCCAATCTAATCTTTAGAGGCCCAAAAATGGCAGGACAGTACATATATTCTGCAAATGACCCCTTTTTGAAAAGTTGATAGTCCAAGATATTTAGTAAGATGCATGGTGAGATTTTTGAAGTTGTAATTTTTTGTCAATTTTTTTTTTTAAATTAAGAAATTTAAAAAAATAGTTTTTATCACAATTGTGTTATATATATATATATATATATATATACATACATATATATATATATATTTATTACACACACACATACTGACACCAGTGTGGTACAGTGACATAATATGACTGGTGTGGTGGTGATTAGGGACATTGACTAGTGAAAGTATGTAAAAAATTACTTTTTTTTGGGGGGGGGGATGCATTAAAAAGTCATACACGAATTAAAAAAAAAAAAAAAGTGATGACCCAATATGTAGCATTTCTCTTCACCTGAAAGCCTTGCCCATGGACCATCTGTAGCTGTTCCTGGATTTTTCGCAGCTCCTCCTGTTGTCGGTGAATATTCTCTTCTATCATGCGTGTTCTTTGTTCCAGTTGGTCCTTTAAGTGCTTCATGGCTCCAAATTGTGCAGTGAACTGAAAAATGGGCTGCAGGTCAGGAGAACATACCAAATGTTAAAGAATTAATCGGACCCTTCAGGCATGCAGCTTACCTAGTCTGTAATGTTACTAATTTGAGGCAACATAGACACGTAGAAATGTATAACAAGATTGGTGCAAATGACAAACATAATATAAGATGATGTCCAATGTTAGTAGTTCTGGCTAGTTGAGATGGGAATGGAAATACATGAGGGTTGAGATGGGAATGGAAATACATGAGGGTTGAGATGGGAATGGAAATACATGAGGGTTGAGATGGGAATGGAAATACATGAGGGTTGAGATGGGAATGGAAATACATGAGGGTTGAGATGGGAATGGAAATACATGAGGGTTGAGATGGGAATGGAAATACATGAGGGTTGAGATGGGAATGGAAATACATGAGGGTTGAGATGGGAATCGAAATACATGAGGGTTGAGATGGGAATCGAAATACATGAGGGTTGAGATGGGGAAATACATGAGGGTTGAGATGGGGAAATACATGAGGGTTGAGATGGGAATCGAAATACATGAGGGTTGAGATGGGAATGGAAATACATGATGGTAGAAATGTGTGCAAGTCCAAGGCTCCAGGTGCTTGGAGATGAAGTATGAAAGTGAATGTACTGTGGTATAGGCTCATTGGGACCTCTATTAGAGTGAAAACATAAAACTAGAGCTGATGATACTCACCTGTGTCATCCCAGGCTGTAGGATGGAAGTCGCTTGCTGCTTCTGTACTGGCTGTGTTAATGACTGGTTAAGAGACTGGGAACTTATTGACTGAAAAAACAAATTACTGCTGTTATTCTGAAAATCTGCATAAAAAAAAAAAAGCATGACAGTCCATCCAAGAGTAGTATTTCAGTTTTTGATATATGCTAGGGAGTAAGACCACATCATAGTCTGCTAAACATCTCTAGGATTCAAGTGACAAAATCTGTACAACAGCCACAGCGAGGGGCCCCACTCTCCCTGATGTGTATTATGGACAATGCAATAAAAGGCACATGAACAGAGAATACACAAAGCCAGCTACTATGACACCCTAGGGTTTATTTACTAAAGCTGGAGCGTGCAAAATCAGACTCACTTCTGCATAGAACCAATCAGCTTCTAACCTCAGCTTGTTCAATTAAGCTCTGGCAATAAAACCTGGACGATGATTGGTTTCTATGCAAAAGTGATCTGATTTTACACTCTCCAGCAGCTTTAGTAACTGTTTCAAGAGACGTCCACAAGATTTCATCTTAAACTGAAATATTACTTTTGGGTGGACAAGCATATCTCTACAAACAAAAGCCTGTTTGAAACATTATTCCCCGTTAGCCAGTTACAGTTTTCCCCTGTGGCAAGGGAACACGTTATTTTCACAGCACATTTGGTATTATAGGTGAAGAACATTTCTTGGAGACTACATTTAACAGCCACATGCACTCATCCATTCAAGCCTATAGGTGCGGCATTTTTCTTGATGTCAAGTGATCCCACAAAGTGGAAGTACACTGAAACTAGGTCTCTTCTGCAAAAAAAACAAACTTGCCTGCTGGTTTACAATGCTTATTAGGCTCCATGCATACGGGGTGTTTTAATAACACTAACTTTAGCTGTGTAAAGTCAGCTTTTTTTTTTAGTGGTTTTTAGCATTTGCAGTTTTTAGAGGTTTTTTTTTTACCAAAAAATTTTTTCTCTTTCTCAAACAAATGTCCAAAACCGCTGGTTTACCGCAATTTACCATTTTTTTCAGCGTTAGAGCATTTTTACAGCTAAAACACTCCTCTAGAAGCCCACTAGTCCTGTGTTTTCTTTCCATGTGTGCATGGGACACATAGGATAACATTCCGGGGGCTTTACTGGCTGTAGAAAAAAACATCAAAAGCCAAAAACAGCCGCTATAAAAATATCCAGTGTTCATTAGAATGCACAGCTCAGTGTACATTCTCAGCAGGGCTATAGATCATTTTCTTTCGGGGGGTACCCAGAGAACAGTAAATTAGCACACCTGCCATGATGTGACAAATTGTGGTGTATATACAGTATATGCAGCACCCCCAGCAGGCATATCTGTTAGTGAAACAAATCGTAAACATGGACTTGGGCTTCAATGCGTTGTTTCTAAAGAGGTCAGTCTGTAAGGCTGTTTAGAGAAGGGCTCTTCTTCATATTTAGGGCTGAGTTGCTGGTAATTGGGGTGTCCTAACAGTGTACAGAGAGCTGCTTTGCCTGTGTGTGTGCCCAGGCGGTTTGCTATGCACAGCTCCTCTCTCCCCTGGCACACACTCCCTCACTCTCTGCTGTAGTCCTCTCTCTCCACCCAACTTCTCCTGTGCTGCAGGCTGCTTGCTCCCCAGTCCTTGCTGGCTCTCTCTTCATACTCTGCATGTCCCACCAATAACTTCTACTTTCCCAAAACACCTCCCCCTGCACTTTCTCCTTGCCTTTGTGTGGGGCCAAATCAGGCTGCTGATGCAGTGAATCAGTTATCCTCTCCACTGTCCTATAAGCAGGGCCACCATTAGAAATCATGGGGCCCAGTACAGACTTTGGCTAAGCCCTAGTTTTACTGCCCCTTGGTAACCCATCTTAAATCTAAAATACAGCTGGAGGAGGCTACATGCCATGGCTTTGACAATTTTGCATCAAAGCCGTGGAAAATTTGACACGGCACATTGAGCCGATTCCCATACTTGGCCATTCAAGTCAATGGGGGCCATGCCACAACTGTGAGCCAAACACTTTGCTTGTGATTGCGGTGCATTAGCACCATTATACACTGCTACTTGACATGAAAAACAGGCATTCAGGGGGTGACAGGGTCACCTCTTGAACACTTTACAGCAGTTGCTTAGCTGCACTTTCAAAGGGGAACTACTGTGGATCACTTTTCAGAGCTTTGGATGGTGTGAACCCTGATAACAAAAGAATGAACACTGCTTCTGGTTGGATCATACCAATCTGCCACTCACATTCACTGGGAGCTGGCTCAAATCATGAGAAAATAGAAACTCCAGACATCTGCACTCCAGTAACCACCTTTAAGGGTAAATATAGGAACATACTCAAAACGTTTCTTTTAATTTTGGATGGAGCAAGGGAGGATTATCACCCTGTCATGTTTTTTTTTTTGCAGTACAAGACACATGCTGTACAGTGTGATCATCAGCATGATAAAGATGGTCACAGGTGCTGTGGCTGTATCATTCATGGCGGGCAAACAGTAGTGCATAGTATACTATACTGTCAAAAGTAGTAACAGTATAGAAAACGCTGCAGCCTGTGTCTGTAGTACTATACTAGCCCGCTGGATGAATAAAAAAAATAGTAATCTTAACCACTTTCCCACCACCCTATAGCAGAAGTACTGCTACAGGGCAGCAGGGCTGCGCAAAATCACGTACATATATGTGATTTGCATTTCTGGGTAGGGGGCATGCGCACCACCCTACCCGTACCGCTATTGGTGGCTAGGGATGTCAATCACTGGGTCCCAGCCGGCACTCTGCGATCGTTGGGTAAAGCAGACAGCGGAGACCTGTATGCAAACAACACAGGTCTCTCTCCTGCAAGCAAGGACATGCTGCTTTGTATATCCCTGCACAGCATGTCTCTGTGGTAAAACACACAGCACAGCATACAGTTAACCCTTTGATCACCCCAGATGTTAGCCCCTTCCTGGTCAGTGTCATTAGTACATTGTCAGTGCTTTTTATTAGCACTGATCACTGTATTAATGTCACTGGGGATGTCAGTGACACCAATTCAGTTCTCCCCCCCCAGAGGCAGAATGCCGACCGTAGTCCCACTATAAGTCACTGATCGCCGCCATTACTAGTATAAAAAAAAATTCCAGTATATGTACCGCCATAACTTTCACATAAACCAATTAATTTACATGTATTGCGATTTTGTTTTTTAGCAAAGACATGTAGCAGAATACATTTTGACCTAAGTTTATAAAGAAATTTGATTTTTTAAATTTTTTTATTGAATATGTTTTATAGCAAAAAGTCAAAAATAGTTTTTTTTTCCCCCAAAATTGTCAGTCTGTGTTTTATAGTGCAAAAAATAAAAATAAAAACGCGGAAGTGATCAAATACCACCGAAAAAAAGCTCTATCTGTGGGAAAAAATTACTTACATTTCATATATGTACAGCGTTGCATGACAGCGCAATTGCCAGTTAAAGTAACGCAGCACCGTATCGCAAAAAATGGCCTGCTCAGGAAGGGGGTTAAATCCTCTGGAGGGCAAGTGGTTAAAGGACTGCAAAAACCAGACCACAGAACAAGTGGAAGAGATAAAAAGTAAGCTGGGATGGAAAGGGTATCAGGCAGACAGTCAGTGTATGACTCCTAGAGTGGAATGCCCAGATCTGAGACTGGAGGCTTCAGGATGTGTTCAGTGCAGATTTATGTTAGAAGAGGAGCAGAAAGAAACAGGAGAAAGTGAACTGGACAGGGGAGGGGAAGGGAGGGGGTGAGGATTGGTGTGGGAGTGTCTAATATACTGCGTGGTCTTACAGGGATTTGACCAGAAAGGTGTAGAGACATGTAGTACTGGGGAGGGAGGGGAGTGAAGCTGGGGGTGAAAGGTGCCGATATATCAGGAGAAAGTGAACATGACAGGAGCAAAGGCAGAGTGACCGGGAAGTTGAGCAAGTTGATGGGAGTGGAGAGAGCTCTGTGAAGGAGGAGAGGGATTATTTAATACTTTGCAGCCAATAGCAGACCTCTCACCTCGATCACTGCAGGACCTTCATTCAATGCAAGCAGTTCTGCAGCTTCTGTTCAGACTTCTCCCTGCATCAGAGTTGCTTCATCCCGCACCTGATAGGAATCCCGTGGGATGAATTTGGAGGGAAGGACAATGCACTCTGTGTACCCACTGGCTTAGGAGGCAGCAGCACCGCCCCCTGCTGCCTTCTCAGCCAATGGGTAGCTGAAGCTCATCATAAGTGCCTCTCTCCTGACGACATATAGGACCTCCTGAGTACCGACCTGCTAAACAGTCCAGGCAGTCCAGGAACAAAATGTATTTTATTTTATCCGGTATCCAGCGTCCTGAGCTCTGCCTGTCAGCAATGTGAAGGATACAAGTGGTTTTCCGTGGCATTGGTGCACCCACAGCTGCAATGCAGCTATACTAGCCCAGCTGCTGTGACATTAACTGATGCTCTCTGGGGGTTGGACCCCCCCTGACCCCCCTTATCTACGCCCCTGATTCTCGGCACACCTTGGTGGCAGAATAAATTAACTCCCATGTGCAGTAAATGAGTCAATACAGCATGGTCAACTAAGACAGCTGAAGATCCTGAACATGAAAGAAGACCAGGAGTAAAGATGCCGGCCTCAGTCAGAGAGCAAGGGGAGGTGATATTAGCACCACTTAAAATTAACAACTGCCTAAAAGTTGATGTAATCAACTCAAGGGATCTGTCACTGAGGAAAAAAAAAAATCATACACAGAGAGAAACAGACACACCTTTGCCATTATGTAGTAGTGACACAGCATCTAGAGTATGGCAACCTCAGGAAGAGAGAAAAGGAGCTGTGGGAGAACTGAAGAAGAAAACACTGGGAACTGGAAGGACTATATTACACTAGCCATTCTGTGGCTGGCAACAGCCTATACAAGGCTAAGCATGGTAGCAAAAGACTTATATACTCACAATAAAAATGCTTTTCACGGAGTCCATTCAGGAACACAAAAATTCAAATACTCGTGGGTTATAAGACTGCCTGCAGAAGGATTGGACACTGGCAAAAAAAAAAAAAAAGAAAAAAA